CAGCAGACCCTCTCCCCTCACAAGCCCAGGACATACACAAGACTTCGATGCGCTGAGAGGTGGACCTGTCAGCCCCCTTTAGAGACTCATGGTTCACAGAGCACACAATGTCCGCCCCGTCATCCTCCCGGGTGACCTGGAAGGTCACCGAGCTGCTCACGGTGAAGGTTTTGCCGTTGGGATCCTCCTGTATCCGGGTTGGCTCTCCTGGGAGCAGAAACAGACACGCGCATAGACGCAGAGTGGGCCCTCACACGCAGAAAGTGTGGGCCCCACGGCAGACGTACAGATGGCGAGTCTCAACTCAGACTTAGAAAGTTGTGAAATGGATATGAATACACACAGGGAGGATGGAGGCCCCGACACACACACACACACACACACGAGTGTACACAGACTATCTGTCATGGTCTTTCTCCCTCTAACCATGCCTTATGTGCGTGTACACAGACATAGACACTTGTGCCCCTCTCTCCTCCCCGCTGCCCCAGCACCCCCTCCCCGGCACCCCCAAAACAGGAGGAACTTACCGTGGAGCTCTTGGTCACCTTTCCTCCAGGTGAGCTGGGCTGCAGGTTTGCTCCCAGAAGACTGACAGTTTAGGGTGGTCGTGTCCTTTTCCCGTAACGATGACTTGTAGCCAGAGATGACTGGCTTCTGTGGGATTCCTGCCACGGGTGGGGGGTGGCGAGCATGGGAGGGAGAGGCACCGTGAGGGCATCTCTCAGCTCCCCCTGCTGAGACGGACTCTTTTGGGGGTCAGGATATCTGGGTTCTGGTTTGGTTTATGATGGGTAGAAGGCTAGAGAAATGATCATCCTCTTTGACCTCCTCCCTGAGGACCAGGAGGGAAGATGCGGTGGGGGAGCTATGAGAATGGGAGATTTACCACACCTGAGACGTGATACAAGACCCAACACCCTGAAGCACAACAGAGTGGCCACAGACATAGGGTGAGGCTCAGGGAAGCAAGGAAGGAAATTGAAATGTAAGATCAAGGTGAGAGCATGCAGGTGGCCGGGGTACTGGCCTTGGAAATGGTAACCATACACTGCACGCCCTCCTCACACTTCCCTCTCACAATCTTAGGAGGCAGGTGGAAGAGACACTATCATCCTTTTGTTACAGGTTAGAAAATTCAGGCTCAAAGAGAGTCAGAGATTTGATTTGACCCAGAACAAACAGTCAGCAGAGGAGAAAACATTTCACCCCAGTGCTCTCTGCAGTTTGTTCTACTGCAAAGGAAACACAAGCTGAACTTTCCCGAAATGCTGGGAGACCGGTACTGCTCTAGGCTGCTTCAGGTCGTCCCCCCCCCGGGGAGATCTGTCTGCAAGGAAGCATGCGGCGGAGACCCAGGGCTTGGGAGCCTCACCGAGCACAGTGACGAGGGACTTGGCAGTTCTGACAGGCATGGTGAAGATGGAGCAGGTGTATTCGCCCTCGTCCGCCAGGGCCACGTTGCTGATGCTGATGCTGAGCTCGTGGGGCGTGGATCGAACCAGCTGAATCCGATTATCTCGAAGGGCTGAGGGAAATCGGGAGAATTGGAAGCAGGGCTTTTACTGGCGCCTTTCATCTTTATCTTCCAATCCCAGGCCAGCTTCTTGGGAAGAAGGGCCTGATGTGGTTTGGGGCAGGGGAAAAAAAACTGCTCCTGAATTTGAATGGTTTAGGTGATTCAGTCACCTTCCTGGGCCACAGGGGGCTCAGCAGCCTCCAAGATGCTCAAAAAGTAGGCTGGGCTTCCTTGGGAGGCACATGGGGCAACACTGACACGAGCTGTCTCTCAGGGCTCCTGTGGGGTGAATCACTCCAGGACCCCACAAGACCACGCATGGCCTAGGTTAGAGCCATGATAATGAAGTTTCTCTGGAACCTGCTGAGGATCCCGTGGCCTGCTGCTGCCCCAAACAGCACCCACCCACGTTTCTCAGCCCCTGGACGATACAGACATCTCCCCTCGGCTCTGCAGCCCCCTTCCCCAGCCCCCGTGCAGAGAGACAGTTCATGGGACCCTACCTCTCTTCTCCCCAAAGTAGAGAGTCTGCTGGGCAGGGTTAGACCACTGCAGGGAGGAATCCTCATGGTCTTTGACTTGGCACTTGAGCACCACGGTGCCACCAGCCACCACTGTCTCATCAGATGTCCAGGGCTGACTGTCTGCAGGCGTAGAAGAGTGTTAGTTTCTGCCCCTCCACCCACTTCTGGGCCAAAGTCCACTTCATCTAATTCAGACCATCCAAGGCCCGTGTCTCTGTATTCTCTCAACGCATCATGGGGGAAGGAATAGAGGTGGGGATGGGGGAAGGCAGAGGGGGACAGACCTTTCTCTTGCTTCCAACGACAAAAAAAAAAAAAAAAAAGCCAGTACACTTAGTTTTAAGGTTTGCTGAATGAACTGACGACGGGCCAACAATACTA